TGAGTTACATCATAACAACCAACAATGACATCTTGAAATTTCTAAGGTGGCCTTGAAGGCAAGAAGCTGAAAGAAGATATTAAAGTCATACACATATTAGGCTACAGATTGTTTTTTCTCTCTTCTTTCTTTTCTGTTTTTCTGTGATTATAGACTACAGTATCTAACCTTTTTTTTTGTTTTGTTTTGTTCTGCTGTTGCTGTTTTGTTTTTTTAGTCCCTTTTTTACCTTTAGGGTGCTCTTTCTCTCCCTATATTACCCCAGAAGAAATAGCAATTGTTATTATATAGTCAAGATACACAATCACACCCTATAAAACCCCACAATCCAGGTAAGAACCAATACCAACTGCCATACACCAAGTAGGCAGACAACACCTACAACAGTTACTCTGAGCTGAGTAATAAGAAGAGTGAAAAGGAAAACTCATCTCCTGATCACATCTACCTCAAGGCAATCAGAAAGCATAAAAAATACCAAAACACACACTCAACCAAGTATTAAGGCCACAGTTAACTACTTAACATGCCCAAGAAGCAGAAATAAATGACCATATCAGCACATGTCCAGAAACAAAATTAAGTGACTGAGACAAATGAGCTGGAGGTAACCTATACTCCATACTGGAAGGAGGGTAGGTCTTGGAAATGCCTGAGAAGGAATTCAGAAAAATGATTATAAAATGCATCAAAACACTTCATAATGGAGTTGAGAAAAACAAGGAAGAAGTCAGGAAAGCACTACAGGAATAATCAAATAAGATAGATACAGTATTAGAAACAATTCAAACCCTACAGAAAGAGATTCAAATGATTGATAATAGAATATCAGAAATGCACAATACACTAAAAGGGCAAAGGAATAGAATTGAAGAGATAGAAGGCAGAACTAGTGAGCTGGAAGACAAATCTCTCAATACTACTAAGATAGAAAACCAAGCAGAAAAAAAGGATAAAAAAAACTGAAGAAGGTCTAAGATTCATGTTGGATAACATGAAGAGAAATAACTTAAGAATTATTGGCATTCTGGAACAGGAAGAATCACATAAGTCTACAGAGGAGATAGTTGAAGAGTTTCTTGAAGTAATTTCGCTCACATCCTGAAAAGCAAAAAGATAAGCATTCAAGAAGCTCAAGGAGTCCCAGTAAGGATATACCCTAAAAGAAAATCACCAAGACATATAATAATCAAGCTCTCCAAAATCAAAGATAAGGACAGAATCCTAAAAGCAGATAAGGAAAAGAGAAGTATAACATACAAAGGCAAGCAAATCAAATTAAGCTCGGATCTCTCAGCAGAAACCATGCAGGCAAGAAGGCAATGGGGAGACATATATAAACCCTGAAAGAAAAAAAACTGCCACCCAAGAATCCTTTATCCAGGAAAGTTGTCAATCAAATACAATGATGACACCAAAACATTTCAGGATAAACAGAAGCTAAGGGATTTTGCCAAAGCCAACCCTGTGTTACAAAACATCCTAAA